GAATACTAATTGCTATGAATAATGCCTATAAACGCAAGCAACTGCAGACTAGATTTAACTTGGAAAAAGAAATTGGGATGAAGGAAAAATTATTACTACAACGACCAACAGATATTAACTTAAAAAATTCTATTAAGATGCTTAAAGATCAATTTAATTTATTAATTGCTGATCAGGTGGCCACCAACTTGAAGTATATTAAACATAACACATTTGCTAACGCAAATAAACCGGGGAGATGGCTGGCTCACCAGATACGTAAGAGACAAAAGGCGAGGCTTATATCTAAAGTTTTGGTCAAAGATCGCGAAATTCACCAACAAGAAATGATTAAAAAGGCATTTACTGAATTTTATTCGTATTTATATTCTTCAGAGACTATAAATAGCAAAGACATTGATAAATATTTACAATCTTCACCTATATATAAACTTACAGTGGAACAGCAGAAAATTATGGATGAAGAGATTACAACAGATGAAATTTTGAATGCAATTAAACAATTGAAAGCTGGTAAAGCTCCTGGGACGGATGGTTTAACAGCAACTTATTATAAGTCATTGTCAGCTATATTGTTACAACCTTTAAAAATTTTATTCAATAGAATTATGTTGGGAGAACAAATACCTCAGTCTTGGACAAGAGCCTTTATATCTTTGATACCGAAGGAGGACAAAGAAATCTTGGAACTTAAAGACTATAGACCTATCTCCTTGTTGAATGTGGATTACAAAATTTTTGCAAAAATTTTGGCCAACAGACTGATGCAGATACTACAACATTATATACATGATGATCAAACTGGTTTTATATCTGGGAGATACATGAAGAATAATATCAGGCAAATTGTAAATCTACTGGAATACTTGGACAAGAATAACCAAATACCTTCGGCTTTTATTTTTCTTGATGCGGAGAAGGCCTTTGACAAATTGGAATGGCAATTTCTAAATAAATTGTTGGATTATATGAACTTTGGAGATCAATTTAAAACAGCTATAAAGGCGATATATCAAAAACAGACTGCCCAAATAATTATAAATGGAGATTTGACAGAGCCTATAGATATACAAAAAGGTACTAGACAAGGCTGCCCACTTTCTCCTCTATTATTTGTATTGTCACTAGAAATTCTATTATCCAGAATTAGAGATTCTACAACGATTAAAGGTTTAAGAATTTCTGCTAAAGAATACAAACTTAAAGCTTTTGCTGATGATTTAGTTTTTACATTGTCTCAACCAATTGAGTCACTGGAAACTTTGTTGCAAGTGTTGCATCAATATGGCAAGGTGGCTGGATTTAGAACTAATGTTCAAAAGACTAAAATTCTTACAAAGAATATGATGGCTAAAGATAAAAATCAACTTACACAAATATCAGGTTTTGAAGTGGTTAGTAAAGTTAAGTATTTGGGAATCTTCTTGTCCTCCTCTAACATGAAACTTTATCAGAATAACTATGAAAAATTGTGGAAATCAGTACAAAAAGACTTATCAATGTGGAAAAAACTTCATTTTTCTTTGCTGGGTCGTATTGCGGCCATTAAAATGAACATTTTACCTAAGTTTCTTTTTTTATTCCAGATGATACCTATTCTAAAAAATGAACTTAACTTGAAAGAATGGCAGAGAGACT